CATGGTGCTTTGATGCAGTGACGTGCGGTGAGGTTTATGGCTGGTGAGGCACTGATGTCATCACAATCTTTTTTTATTTAAATGCCTTTGTAACACAGAGGTACAGTCATCCCTTGTGGAAAACACAACAAGGAACTCCTCGGCTCCTTGCTCCCCCCACATCTCTTTTTTGTTGTTGTTGGCCACTGGTGGTCACCATACAAGGTCCTCAGCAATATGCTTTTGCCCGCCACCCCTTTGAAATGTGCAAGGATGGGACAAAACGGCATGGATCCTTTTATTAAAAACCCCTGTGTTACAAAGGCATTTTAATAAAAAAAGATTGTGATGACATCAGTGCCTCACCAGCCATAAACCTCACCGCACGTCACTGCATCAAAGCACCATGGATTCCACAGTTCAACTTGAACATTATTTATTTCCTTCTGTTGTAGTGGGTGCAGAAAAGCCCTGAAAAATGGCCGGATTCAAAGGTCTTTTTTTCCCTTGACCATGAGATTTTCAAGGTCATGGTACTATAGATATATCAAAAATGCTGAATTACAGAAACCTTTTTTTTTTCTCAGGGAAGAAGAATTGCAATTTTATTATGGTTTTAGACCATTTTTATTGTAAACCTTAACTATATTATTATTCTCACTCTGTGTATAGTGTATCTTTTATTATTTATTATTATAATTGATGACACAATTTATTGGCAGACTTACATGGCACCAAAATCATTAGCTGATATTTGAGAGGCTAGTCTGATGGTCCAATGATGATCATCTGTAAGGAAGGTAGTGAACACGTTTTACACATTATTCCAAGCAAGAATTATTATTCTTTGTGCTTTTGGTAAACGATTCTAATTGAGTATGATGATATATTATTTTATGCGAGAACAAATTGATGTATTCCAAAGTTATTGAAAAGAGCTTGTAATCTTCAGGATGTTCTCTTCTCTTCTCTTCTCTCTCTTCTCTTCTCTTCTCTCTCTCTCTCTCTCTCTCTGTCAGCCTGCCTGTCTGTCTTTCTGTCTTTCTGTCTCTCTATCTGTCTTTTTCTTTTGTAAGTCTGCCCAATAATATAAATAAAATAATTACAAATTAGTGTTGTTTTAAAATTTGATTTCATTTGTAATGAAATAAAAGATAGTAATGCATGTAATGCAAAACCCAGAAACTGATGGTATCATACCATATGCAAGAACAAATTGATGTTTTCTAAACTTATTAAACCATTGCAAAAACAGAGAAGATACTGCAATGCTCAGATGTACTCCAATATTTTTTGCATATCTAGCAATAAAATAATTAAAAAAATAATTGTTTTAAAGTTTGTTGTCTCTTGTAATGAAATAAATGTGATAATACTTATAATGTAGTTCCCAGAAACTACTTGAACACATCTTATATGGTATTCTTGGCATATATAGCTGATATAGCTAGCTGATGAGAGCTAAATAGCTTGAAATAGATCTATACTAGTCTCCCTTTATTTATTTATCAGCACAAATTAAAAGAAACAAACACAAATATAACAAAGGCAACAGTAAAAATATAGGGTTTCTGTCTGGATGGACTCTTGTGACGAGCCGATAGACAGATGATGGAAGCAGTTAGCTTCCTCCCATAATTGGGGCTTACCAGGGGTTGTAAAAATCTAATATAGATAGATAGATAGATAGATAGATAGATAGATAGATAGATAGATAGATAGATAGATTATATTTATATATATATATATATAACCAATAATTAACATTCTG